TTATGAAGTCAAATAGTATATTATGATTGCATCTGCTTACCTATATACTTTCCTCAAATCTGATTGCCTCTTTTTTCTACCCTACTTGCCCTTAACATAGTCAAACTTTGTTTCAAATAATCCTTTTAGAGTAGTACCTATTTTTCCAAGAGTAGTACCTAATTTCTCTCAACTACTATCTACTCATGTTCCACTATATAATAATAACTCACCGGGTTTGCATTAAGCAAATGTAAATTAAAACCACAATGAAAGAGGTGCCTAGATGGCTCAGTAAAGCCTCTGATTCTTGGTTTCAGTTCAGGTCATGGGATCGAGCCCTGAGTTGGACTCCTTGCTCAGTGGGGAGTCTGCTTGAGATTTTGTCTCTCCCTCTCCCTCTGCCTCTCCCTACTCTTTCCTCTCTCTCTCTAAAATAAAGAAGTCTTTTAAAACACACACACACAATGAAATATTGCTACATGCCTATCAGAGTAGCAAAAAAACTGAAAATAGTGACAATACCAAAAGGAAAGGATGCAGACACATCAGATCACTCATACATTGCTGGTGGGACCAGCACTCTGAAAAACAGTTTAACAATTTATTTTAAAAAGAAACATGCAAGAACCATATGTCCTACCAACTGGTGGGCATTTATCCCAGAAAAATGAAAACTCATGTTCATATAAATATCTGTTCAAAACTGTTTATAGCAGCTTTATCTATACTAACCAAAAACTGGAAACAAGTCAGGTGACCTCCAATTTGGTGAATGGCTAAGCCAACTGTAATATATTCATACCATGGAATAATACTCAGCAATGAAAAGGAAAACTTATCAATACACACAACAGCCTGGATGAATCTCTAAAGAATTATGCTGAGTGAAAATGCCAATCCATAAAGGCTACATAGCATATTATTCCATTTATATAACACTCCTGAAATAACAAAATTATAGAAATAGAGAACAGATTAGTGGTTGCTAGGGATTACGGAGCAAATGAGAAGGAAAATGGGTATATATATATATGGCTCACTTTTTTGTTTTCTTGATAATAGATATATTTTTAAACACTATACTTTGTTTTCCTTTTAAAGGATTTGGAGAGAAAAATGGTAGACAGGCATGTCTGTCAGTTTGGCATTTTAATTCAATATCCAAGTCACTTCTCCCTTCTTACCCAGCCTGAATGCTCAGTAAACATGACCTAATACTAATATTACCCCAAGCCAACATACTTAGGAAAGCATTTATGCTGTTTCAAAAAGTTATGTATGTTACCTAGGGACAAACATGAAAATGGGTTTTTATATCAGCTAGTGAAGGATTATTACTGACAGTGATTTCTTCTTCCTGTTATATTTGGAAAATCATAGATCCATAGAGTAATAGAGGAGTTTTTGGAATATGTGAGTTTTTCCGTAAGGTACAAGTTCCTTGAAGGCAAAAATTTTGTCTTTTTTTTTTTTTTTTGCTTCACCTCCTACATTGCAGTAGCATTAACCACCTTTCTCTTCTAAAAGCATTTATCCCATCACAGAACCTTTGATGATCCCTCTGCCTAGAACACTGCACCTCCTATTCTCTGTCCATTGATCAGTTCTTTGTTAAAAGTCATTTCCTCAGAGAAGCATTTCTAAGTACTTAATATAAATAATGCCTAATAATTTCTATCATGCCTTTCCAAAAACTATTCACAAATTACAAACATCTATTTTTGTGGTATATTTTTAAAATATGTTTATTATAGAACTTTTGGAGTTTATTATAACTTTTTAGTCTCTAATATATCTAGTAAATTATTTTCTAAGTTTTATTTGACTCTCATTGCATGTTTCATGGGAATAATGTTTAATGGAATCATGAGCATATTTAGAATTCTCAAAGCTGATCACTAGAATCACCTTTAGGATCCCTGCCAGGGCCCCTTCCAAGGCCAACAAATCTGAGTCTTTGTATGGTAGAGACCCAAGCATAGATAATTTTCAAGAGCTGCTAGCCCATTCTAACTTGAAGCTAGGCTGTGAATGTGTGGTCATGTTTTTAATATGGGTCCCTCCCATCAGACTGTAAACCTTATGTGAGCAGGGATGTTTTGTTCATCTCTGTAGCCCTGGAACTTAGAAAAGTGCTATATATGTGTGTGTATATATGTGTATATATAAATAAATATATATTTATAAATATATAAACATATGTATATGTTTATATATTTATATATGTATGTTTAAGTATTCAGTGAATTCATTTTGAGTCACATGAACACATAAACACAGACCCTCTTTTTTATGAGGCTTAGAGGTTATGGAGGAAAGAGGGCTCACCAACATAAGAATTCACTTCAGAGTATAAAGAGAGTAAAACCCAAAGTGTTAAAAAAAAAAAAAAAAAGACCCAAAGTGTTGAGGCTTTGTCCAACATCATCTTTTACTGAGCCTCACCTCTCATCCCTTCCCTTTATAAGTTATCCATGGTTCTCTTCTTGGATCCACACCCCCCTGCCCCAACCCCCACCTTCAGTTTCATCCTTCTGTACCCTGCTGGCCCCCCCAAGCTCACTGTCTTCAACATACTTGCCACTGGAAAGTTTCTACAAAGGTGATCACATCAGTACTGAGTAGGGTGGCTTATTTCTCCTTCTCCCCTTCACACACCCCTCTGGAACTTTGGAGCCACGAAGCTTCTTGGAGGAGAGGGAGGCCCACCAGGCAGCTCTTTATTGCCATGCAACTGTGAGATTCCTCCCCACACTTTCTCCTGGGGAAAGTCAGCCTGCCAATCGAGATTTAACAGTGGAGCAGTGCATGGTGATGAGCCAAGCCCCCCTCCCGACACCCCCAACCAACCCCATCACCACCTCGTACTGCCATCCCCACCCCCGGACTGAACAAACTGTATCACTTACCCCCTGGGAGCCTGGCAGTTGCTGAGCCCAGACGCCACAGGGGCTGGTGAGTTTCCAGTGGCCACAGAGGCAGGTCTTTACTCAAGGCATAGCTCTGTCCATGACTGCTCAACTGGGAGCACAGCTGGCACTGCAGGTGATGAGCCACTTCCGGGCCACCTTCTCCCCTTGGAGATTTTCCTCTTGATTCCTTTTTGGCCAGATCCCTTTGCAGCATTATAGTTTGTCAATAGCCCGCGACTGCTTTCTAGAATTTCTCTCCAGGAGAAAGTGTGTTTTTCTAAGAAATAGGTGTTCTAGCCTGAAGCCTAATTTCATGTGAGGGCTGAAAAATGAAACAAAAATAATCACCCTCAAGTCTGGAAGCTAAGGGGCCTCTCCACTCCGTGAGGAGTGCTTCCTTTTGGGAGGTAGGAGGAGGGGTGGCCCTTTGTGCTTCTTAAATGAAGTTTCCCCAATTATAAAAATAATGTGTGCTTCTTGTATCAGCCAGAGTCCTGGCAGGAAAAAAAAAAAAAAGGATACTCAGCTTCAATTTTGAAGCAATGTTAATGAAGGTATTATTTACAGAGAGGTGAGCAGGGTTCATGAATGGACAAGGGATAGCAAGGCACCCAAGGCTAGCTAAAATGGAAAGCTCTTATCACCCCTACACTTGAAGGGAGAGAGGTAAAAGCTGGGGTGGGGGCACTGGTCAGGAGTTGCTATGTGAAAGGACACACCCATCACCAGCTCCAGGCACTGGCTGAACTCCACTAGAAGGCCATGGGCTAGAGGTCCTGGGTAATGCAGTCCATAGGAATCAGTCTCCTGGAGACACAGAGCAGGTCAGTAATGGTCAAAGTTTTTACTGGTGAAAAGAGGGTGAGGGGCAAATGGAAAGGACATAAAATAATTATAGGACATTGCAAAGAGAAGAAATTATAAATAAACAAATCACTCACCCTCAACCCTGGAGCCCAAAGAAATCTAGTCTTCAAAGGAACTTTTGGTATTTTTTGACCCCATAATAAGTTGAGACCATATATTTAATAACAGTGAACATATGTCAAGCCCATAGCACATGCCAGGCTTTGGGTCAAGGCTTTACAAGTATTGTTTCTTCTAAACCTCACACAGCTCTTTGGAATAGGTACAGTTTATCCTCTCCTCATGAATGAGGAACTGAAGGTAAACAGAGGAACTTGCTGAGGTCCTCCAGCCATGCAAAAGTCCAATTTAACCTCAGTCAGCATCCAGAAGCCCCTACTCATAGTGACTATGCTGTACTGCCATCTCTTCTACTTCACATCCCCGTTATGACCTTTGCTTTGAAGTGTTGTTTTAATCCATTCATGTTGCACGGAATACGTCAGTATGCATTTTACCTTTTTTTTTTTTATTGTTGGCTATTCAAGTTGCTCCCAGTTGTTTCACTGTTGTAGATGCTGCTTCTATGAATATCTCTGTATTTAGGGCATTTCCTGCATTCTGGAATGTTTCTTTAAAGGAGAGTTCTACTAAATTCCAACCCCGACCCCGTTTTAAAACCAGTATTGACTGTTCTATAATTTCAAGTCACATAGTTGTAAATAGCTAAATGTGGACATGGAAAATAATGTCAAAATTCTCCAATTCTATCACTCCACTCATCCCCAAATTAAAGAAAAATAAAATTGAGGGGAAGCATAATGAGTCAAGGAGTCAAGGTACCCTAATTTTAATGAGAAACAGCACTTAGGTGAGTAAAGACCAATCACCCCTAACTAATTCCGCTGTCCTAGGTGTTAAATGGGGACACATCCATGAGCTGTGAGCACGTAACACCCAGGAAGTACTGACTGCATACACATTAACCAAATCTAAACACATGGGGTTGTAGCTCTTCTAATCAGCCACTTCTACATCTTTTATTTATTTATTTACTTATTTATTTTCACAGACCAATCTAAGTTATTTATAAGCCATCTCCTGCCACAAGCAAAGGGATGGAAGATCAGCATACTGGTCACCAGTATGATACAAGTAAGGAAAGCGAGCTTAAGTTCCTATATACTTTTCTGGTCTGTGTGCAGAGTCAAGGTCCAAACCTGTGCTATGATCTCCACTGGGCAGTGGTCCAGACTCTCTTTATTCATCTTCGTAGCTGGTTGGAAGTAGATTCACATGAGAACTATGGAATAAACTATGATTATCATCTCCCCAGGGAAAGGGCTTGAACCTGATGTGGAAATAGGGTAAGCAATGAACTTGATGTTCTCCATGATGTGACTTCAGAAAGACGTTCAGCATGCTCACTCCCACGCCAAGACGTGCTATGAAGTAGGTGAGGGCCTTCCACATGCGAGCTGAGCCCTCCTTGCTGTGGACACCACTCGACATGGACCATCCCAGCTGTGTCCCACACCAACCTAGCAGCCCAGACAGCTGGGACACAGCCAGTGCTACCATTTTCCATGTGGACCAATCACTTCTACTTCTGATGAGGTGTGTGCTGAGGATTACACTGGTGGATAGAAACAATTTATCGAAAGAACTTAGGTTAAACCGTTCATTGCCAAAAAAAAAGTTGCCCTTTGACAAAGAGTAGTTTAAATTCTAAAAATGTGCTCTCAGTTTAGGCCAGTTCAGCTTATTCTTCAGTACAATAACTTATGAACCACTCAAGAAAAATTAGATAAACTATTTTCTAGAAAATACTTAGATTCATTGGAAGTGTCTGTCAAATCTTGATTTGTCTGTTCAATGTAGTGTGCTGATTATGGCATGATCTAAACTAAGTCAAAGTGCTACAGTCTTCTGGGAGTCTGTGACTTATGAAGAGTGGTATCACTGCAAACTTTGGTAGTAGAGTATGGGTCTGCATTAAGAGGACATTTATTTATACAGTGGAAGGAGCCCTAGCCAGAAAATCAGGAGCTTGTTATCCTTTGGCTCTGCTCTAACTAGCTAGGTGACCTTTTTGGGTAAGTCACATCTCCTCTTTGAACCTCAGTTCTATTCTCTGAAGAAATGAGGGAATAGGACAGGATCAGTGATTTTCAAACTGATCCATGGAATCTTAGAGGTCTCCACAGACATGCTGCAGGGACCGCATGGCAGGCTGGAGTTGGGGGTATAGGGAGCAATGGAAGTTTCCCAGACTCTGAAGACAAAATAATTATATCTTCCTGTTGCATTCTTTCAGAGCACCATGTAAGTTTCCCTTATAAGTCATTTTCCTAGTTTGTAATTACATCTTTACCCATAAATTACTTGCTTGGTATCTGTTTCTCTTTCTAGACTATATTTTCCATGAAGGCAGGGACCATGCCTATTTGGTTCACCATCATAAACCCAATGACAAGCATAGTACCTGACACATGGCACATGATTATTTGTTGAATGAATGAATGGATGAATGAATTCAGTCTCATTTCTGGCCCTGGAGGTACTTATAAACATAGAGATGATTCGTTTCAGTAAAGTAAATATAACATTTCCCTCTTCCTCTTCGTTATTAAACCATATGGAAAGAACTATCTTTGAGTTCTGACTTAGCCCTGATTTCTTAGAAACTGTATAATCTTGGACACAAAGGTCACAACTTCTCTGAGCTTTGGAGTTTTTTGTTTTTTGGGTTTTTTTGTTTGTTTTCCATAAAATGACTAACCTAGTTAGTCAACCTAGGTTAGTCTATGATCTCTCTCAGGTCTACTTCTGCTCTGGCATTCTATGATTTCATAATTTTGTCCCTTCCTTAATCCACAGAAGGTTAGATGAAGCTGAAGGTCCTGCATAGGACTTAGAACTCTGTAGCACAGAGATAATCTCTGGGAATGAATGAGCTCTCTGAGGAAGAAACATTCAGAGAATATCTTAGACATTCTGAAAAGCAGAATCCTGGATTAGGAAAGACAGAAGAGGCAAGTCATCACTCTGTCACCTACTAGTTTTGTTGGTGATCTTGGGCAAACAGTTCATCTCCCCTGGGCTTCAGATCTTGGGCAAACACTTCATATCCTCTGGGCTCTATGTATGAAATGAGGACAGAAGTACCAGTCTCAGCTGCTGTATGTGACATCATAGGGATCAAAACAAATGAGGTAGTGTAAGTGAAAATGCTTTGTAAATTACAGTGTGCTATATATATATTTAAGATGATGCTATCACCATTATTACTAGGTCACCATAAAGGTCATGATCCTAATATATTATAAAGCCAGAATAACTCAACAGTGCCATACTGGTACATGATAAACCAATGGATTAGAAGGGAAGCTTCTACTATAGGTAGCTGTAAATGCAGGAATTCAGTGTAAGATAAAAGTAGTATCACATATAAGCAGGGGAAAGATGTAAAGTTCAATAAGAAGACTACTGGACAGGAAAAGAAAATGTAATTGGACTCATGTCTCATGGTTTACTGCAACATAAATTATAAAGGGATCAGATTTCAATGTAAAAATGAAATAATAAAAGTTCTGGAAAAAAACTGGAAGAAATCCTTTCTGACTAGAGTAGGAAAGACCTTCATCACAATTCAAGAACTAGAGTAAATTCAACTTCATTTGTAAAAGCATCTTCAGCAGAAACAACCATAAGCAACATAAAAAAGACACCATTTTATACAATAGGCATAGACTCACCTTTCTAATATATAAATAGCTTTTGAAATCTATAAGAAAAAAAATGAGGGAAGGATGGTTCTTAAAGAAACAGATGGCTCCTAAGCATATAAAGAGAAGTTCAAATTCTCCCATTATAAAAGAATGCAACTTAAAACAAACCTGAGATATCAATCTTGACCTTTCAGAAGGGCAAAAATTCAAAAGTTTTAATATACACTCTGTAGATTAGAGTTGAGGACACTGTTACTTTCATATAATGCTGATAGAAGAAAACATTTTTAGGATCATTATGGAAAGCAGTTTGGCGGTATTTATCATAAATACAAATGCAAATAACCTTTGACCCAGCAATTCTTATTAGGAGGATTTATCCTGCAGATATGCTTAGGGATTTATAAAATGAATTATTATGCACAAGGTTATTCATACCAGCATAGTTTGTCAGAGTAAACTGCATCATATGAGGTTTATAAGGGCAAAATACAGAAAATCTATCAATAGAAGACTGGTTAAATAAATTATCACACACATCCATATACAGAAGCCAGAGGACAGAACGTGGAATCTTATTATGTATTTATATGGAAAGATATCCAAGATAAAGTAAGTTTTAAAAAAAACATTTGGGGGGCAGCCCCGGTGGCGCAGCGGTTTAGCACTGCCTGCGGCCCGGGTTGTGATCCTGGAGACCCGGGATCGAGTCCCACGTCGGGCTCCCTGCATGGAGCCTGCTTCTCCCTCTGCCTGTGTCTCTGCCTCTCTCTCGCTCTCTCTGAATGAATAAATAAATAAATCTTAAAAAAAAAACATTTGGAAGAGTACATATAATGTGCTTCCTGTTATGTAAAATGGTGTGTGGCGGGGGGGGGGGTCTATATTCATGTCTGATTGCGTGTGAATAAAGAAACCTGGAAAGATACATAAAACACCAAGAACAGTGGATGCCTGGTGGGGGGAGCAAATCTGGGAACTGGGAACACACACAGGAGCCTGAGAGAGATTTACTGCTGAATCACTGATTATACCTTTTGATTTTTGAACCATGTGGACCTATTCAAAACATTAAATTTAATAACAAGATCAAAATAAAAAATACAAATTTCATGGGATACAGGGAGAACAGAATGGGTCAAGAGAAGAAAAAGCAAAGGAAAGAGACTTGTAAGAAGAGTCCTTAGGAAGGAATGCTCTTTATAGAAACAGGCCAGGTCGAGAGACACTTTGTATCCCACGTGCAGGAGTAGAGAGACTCAAGAATACACCTAAGAGAAAGAGAACAGAATTTTTCTGTCAATGTCCACAGTGGTTTTTCCAATATTGACAAATAGGAGAGAATAATGCAGTCAGCCAAAGTGGGAAAATTACTTCAGATCTTTCAGGGAGCCAGAAAAAAAGATCTTTGGCCATCATTTCTGTGACCATAGTGGGTGAATTTCATGCAGCAGGCTCCCAAACTCCATGAAATAAATTTCTCCAAAGGAGTCTTTTGTAGTGCTTATTTAAGCTATCAGGAAAGTAAGGAGTCTTATATGACAAGAGTGTTTACATATTTAATTTTTGTGTAACATTAGAACCAGAAAAGCTCTCTCTTTAAGATGGGGAATATGTGACACATGCAGTTAATTTCCACATTAAATTACTGAATGAAAAATACACACATTATCCATTGTGACTCCAGGATTAGGTCAGGTCAAATTTTATTGCTTTTGGCCAATGGCTTTTGTAAGACTTACAAGGCTAAGAGCAGGTACAGTGTGATCTTTGGTATAAGTTATAGAGGTAAAATGAGGTTCTGAGTGAGAAAATACTTAGCATTTCAGAGGTAAGTTCATGAAAGTCATCATGAGACTAGCACATCCCCATGTTGATTTAGCTAGAACTTTATAAGATCACTTTAGCTCTGGTTTCTGAAACTGCCAAGGTTCATGTATCCGCCTAACAATAAATAATCAACCTTTTCTAGATTGATCTGTAATGGATGCTAATTTGAATTACCCCCAAGAAGTTTGCATAAAACCAAATAAACATGGCAAGGGGAAAAAAGGGGGGTTGGAAATGTGGATGATTCCCTAGCTATGGTTCCAAAAATAAACATTTGTTGGGTTAAAAGTGTCTAATAGTATCTGCCTTCAAATCTGGTCATGGGCTTGAAATCTAGAACGGGTTTAATTATTCTATTAGAGTAATGAAAATTTGTATCTGATAAAAGCAATCTACCAAACATGACATTTTGAACAAAGTGCTATTCTTAGATTGGTTTATGTGAGAAATGTAGTAAAAGAGGTAGCAAAGTAACAATTGGAAATATTTATTGAGCTCTTACTATGGCCAAGCTAGTGTATGTTTATATGCATTATCCCATTTAATGCTTTCAACAATCTTATGAGGCAGGATGGATCCACTTCATTTTTTAGAATTTATTTTTTAAATTTTTAATTTATTTATGATAGTCACACACACAGAGAGAGAGAGGCAGAGACACAGGCAGAGGGAGAAGCAGGCTCCATGCACCGGGAGCCCGACGTGGGACTCGATCCCGGGTCTCCAGGATCGCGCCCTGGGCCAAAAGCAGGCGCTAAACCGCTGCGCCACCCAGGGATCCCCACTTCATTTTTTAGATGAGGAAAATTAAGAAGTGGCCCAAGCTAGTCAGTGATGAAGCCAGGATACATATTCCTCTAAAAGGCATACCTATAACATCATTACTAAACTTCCATTTATATTAACACATGTTCAGGCTTTTATCGTCCTAGTCATGGGTCAGAGCTTGCTTATGATCAATAGATCCTTTGTATTTGATGGTGGTGTCTAAACCATAAACTTGACTTAAGGAGAATCCAG